ATGTTAGTGTTTTATTTTTCTCTCTGTATTTGAGTTTTTATTTTGCCTTTTATATTGTATACTGATTTTAATGATGCTTTAATTTTTATTCTCTGTATTGTATGTTAGTGTTTTATTTTTCTCTCTGTATTTGAGTTTTTATTTTGCCTTTTATATTGTATACTGATTTTAATGATGCTTTAATTTTTATTCTCTGTATTGTATATTGATAATCTTTTGTCCTCTATATTTTATGCTGATTGCACTGATTTTGTCTACTGATTTTTAACAATACCATCTTTACTCCTTAGATATGTTTTATTGTTATAATTTGTTTTTTCTTTATTAAACCTGCTTAACCCTTTTGTATACTGATTTTAATGATGCTTTAATTTTTATTCTCTGTATTGTATATTGATAATCTTTTGTCCTCTATATTTTATGCTGATTGCACTGATTTTGTCTACTGATTTTTAACAATACCATCTTTACTCCTTAGATATGTTTTATTGTTATAATTTGTTTTTTCTTTATTAAACCTGCTTAACCCTTTTGTATACTGATTTTACTATGTAATTGAATACAAGACTTGGGAGTATTAATTAGCTTATATCCACTTCTAGGTGAAATTCTCATGTGCTTGTGTGAATGTATTTGTAGGTGACATGTAGCTTTACCAATATTGGTAGCTTATACAGCTACCACTAGTATATTTGTATACAATCCATGAGCACATGTTTTTAATTTTAAATGTTGACTTAAATACTAAGCATAGCTAAATTTGTGAGTAATATGTTTTGATTATTTTTTTAATGATGGGATTTAATTTAAACTTTATTTGTTTACGAATGGATTGATAAGAACTAGTGGATACTTTGAAAGAGCATATGGCTTCTTGGTAGGTTCTATTATATTTGTTAAAAATGTTTGTGTGATACAGTGTAAGAAATTAAGTGGATAACCATTACTTTGTAATATGTTATCAAATTTCTGAGTAAAGACAGGAGTAGTCAGAATAGATATTATACATTGTGTTTAGAAGATTTAGAACAAAGTTAAGTTTGAAGAAGTCTGTTATGAAACTGTTGAAACAAGTATATAAGTCAGTAAATGATTTCTTATGGTAAAAAGATGCAGCAAAGAGATTTTTATTCCAAAACATGCTTACCTCCTCCATCACTACAGCTATTACTCTACTGCCAGGGTTTCTTCCTTTGCCCACCTAAGCATTGATCTAATTTTTTTCTCGCTTGGTCTAGTCTTTCATACCCCACTGAATTAACCATGGCGATATTTTTCTCATGACACTGTCCACCTATGTAAATGTGCCCTCTATTCTGTTATTGTATATAAGCACCTCATTCAGATAATGTTATCACTTTTTTTTTTCAACAAAGCATCACTAACGAGTTTCTCATTGCTACGATTGTTCGGAGATACCTTGAGCATTTTCCATGTAACCTAGTTAATTTTCTTCAAAAAATGGAAATAAAATTTTTTTCTTCTTCGATTAGTAAGCCAGTTCATGGTATGCATTCCTGGATTATTATTTCTGTCATAGGGTTAAATCTCACTTCTGATATTGAGCACTGCACAACAATCAGGGGGAGTCACTCTCTGATGAGACTGTCAGTGATCCTATTCATAGATGGAGACATATATTCGAATCGGTGGTGTTCCTTTGCACAGCTCTGAGGCTGCAATTGAGGGCAATCCTTGAAATTCTGGAGAGAACTTAAATTCACTTTTTACTGTGCCTTCTTTTATTCTTTTGGTTTCTCAGTCCCCTTGTGGGACAGTGGTAAGTTTTACAGACTTACAATGCTGGAATCTGGGGTTTCATTCTCTATAGTGGACACAGCATATAGCCCAACCTTATTTTTCTCTAACAAAATAAACTTACCTGACTAACCGTTGTTCAAACAAGGGTAATAAAAACGTCTTTAAAAGAAAAAACAAAACAAAAGGAGGCAACTTTGGGATAACCTGCCTCTGATTTATTTTCTTCAATTGGTTCGTCAAGAGTGTGATGTCTTGGGTCTTTCCCCAGTTACTTTTGAGCCTGCACCTTACTTGATGGCTGAAAGGTCTGGTGGTGAATATTTAATTTTCTCAACATCCATGGACATTGTGGTTCATGCAGGGAAGTTTACTGCTCAGTTTGATGAAGGACAGTTATGCATTATCTGCCACCATTGTCAGAACTACGTGATTTAGTCTACCACCACCAGATGCAAGCATATTCCGACTCTCAAATAATACATCTAGTTAGCTCAGATGTTCTTGTGTAGTTCTATGCAAAATCCAACAAACAAACAAACCTTTTCTTTGTAACAGCAGCTTAATTGTTTAAACATTATAAAGCACACATTATTATTTCTGTGTGTTATGACCATTAGAAATGGTGTATTGGTTTAGGTTTTACTGAACTATGGTTGTGAAGACTGTGTAAGTTTTCATGTCTGTTTGTTGAAACTGTTAGAATAACATCTATGTGGCAAATCAGGTCTTGTTTTTACTGACCTGTAGTTGTGTTAACAAAGGTTATATGAAGATTTATTAAACTACATTGCATGATATGTTTTAACAAAGTGCAACATTCATGCTACCAATGAGAACTTTATGACAGTGAGTTGAGTATCAGAAACAACTACAAGTTCAAGAGAGTTTGATAAATCTGAAAACTGTTTTGAATCAAAAGCCTTTTGATCACATGCAAGCTAATTAGGCAATTATTAACTCTTGGTAATTTTCACATATTGAGAAGTGTTTGCTGTATTTATGCATTTTTAATGAATCTTCAGATATTCATATATCTTAACATTTGTTTACTGTACTGGTATTTATAAATAGTGGTTCCAACAGTAGGTCTGACAAGCATTTCTTAATGAATCTTCATATATCTTAACAATGTTGACTGTACTGGTGTTTATAAATAACAGCTCTAACAGTAGGTCTAACAAGCATTTCTTAACGAATCTACAGATATTAATGTATCTTAACATTTGTTGACTGTCATGTTGTTTATAATGTGAAGGCTGATGTGCATGTTGTTCACTTGTTGGTGATGATAGTGTTATTTTCTTTGTGTACTGAAAGAATTCCAGCAATTGTATTTTGAAAAAAAAAACATGATTAGTTCTCCTTCACCTTACTAAGAAAAATAGAACAGTAATAAAGTACATTAACTTATTTTATGTCTTAATTTTCTTTTATATTTCTTTCTTTAGTCTGAAGTGATTCATGTAAAGATGCAAGTCCAAAACCAGTTCCAGCAACAGCTGGATGAAGAAAGAAGAAGGTTTAAGTTTGATTTCTTGCAATGCTTTTCCTACTATAAGCATAATCAGTAGTGATTGAATTTCATACAAAAGCATGATTGTTGTTAAAGAATTACAATTATTCCTTTTTTTTTTCTAGAAACATAACGTCAAAAATGGATATTTTTAGAATTACATTGTATTTTAGCAATAATGTATTTAGTTTATTTTTTAATGGTATAAAATCTGTACATTTTTTATCAATTGCAAAGTAACCCTGAATATGTATAGAAATAAATTAATAAGCAGCAATATTACAAAGAAGAGCAGGATGTGGGTACATCTTGATTAACTATTGTTGATTAATAAACGAATATTTCAGGGTGTAAGTACATCTTGAATAAGTATTGTTGATTAATAAACAAGAATACTTCAGGGTATGAGTACATCTTGAGTAAGTATTGTTGATTAATAAACAAGAATACTTCAGGGTGTAAGTACATCTTGAATAAATATTGTTGATTAATAAACAAGAATACTTCAGGGTATGAGTACATCTTGATTAACTATTTTTGATTAATAAACAAGAATACTTCAGGGTGTAAGTACATCTTGAGTAAATATTGTTGATTAATAAACAAGAATACTTCAGGGTATGATTACATCTTGAGTAAATATTGGTGATTAATAAACAAGAATACTTCAGGGTGTAAATACATCTTGTGTAAATATTGTTGATTAATAAACAAGAATACTTCAGGGTGAGAGAACATCTTGAATAAATATTGTTGATTAATAAACAAGAATACTTCAGGGTGTAAGTACATCTTGTGTAAATATTGTTGATTAATAAACAAGAATATTTCAGGGTGAGAGTACATCTTGAGTAAGTATTGTTGATTCTCTTATGAAAGGGATACACAGGAACACCAGTGAAATTTATTTTATTTTAAGATATGCATCAGAAAACATCAGAATGTGTAAAGAAATGGAAGAACTGAACAAACTCATTACTTCATATGAAGATTCTCTGAAAAGAAAGGATTACATCATAAATAACCTTAGTAAAGCTGTTACAAAACAACAACAGAAACTTAACCTTCTGCGTATATTTTATCAGTGGAAAATCCAGTGTATAGATAAAAAACGTGAGGTATGTAAGTTTTGTTTTTCACTGATATTCTAATTTCACTTGTGTGATAGTAGCATTAAACACTCAATAAATTGGGCATAGATAAAGAAATATGTAACAAATTGAATGTAACAAAACATAAAAATATCATTGAACAAAATTTACCAAAAAGTAACCTTGATTTCAGTGCAAAGACTTCTTGTTTTTCCTGAATTTTAAGGTTAAAATATTTTCTCAGATGTTATAACTGACCTTTTTCTAATAAGAATATGATGAAAGGCCAGTAAAAAACACAAACACAGATTACTTCTGATATGGTACGTTACCTCTTCTCACGTAAATAGCTATTCTCGTTCAGTGCTGCCCTCTATATGCAATTTGTTTTTTACTCATGCCATAAGCCTTTTATCTCCCCTCCATTGGAATTGACTGATTCCAATGTGTGTCTCTTGCAAATAATCATGCATCAACCCTCCACCAGTAATAATGCAACATACTCTTAAGATGCATGTGACTCCCTTTAGTCACTTCTACTGAACTATCGCTTTTTGTTTGGCAGCACTTGTGTTCAGGAATTTTTTTAAATATTAGTGTGTGTTTTATTTCTGTATGTTTTAACATTTTCCTACCTTATGTATTACAATATTAGTGTGGTTTATGTGTATGTTTTAACATTTTCCTGCCTTATGTATTACAATATTAGTGTGGTTTATGTGTATGTTTTAACATTTTCCTGCTTTATGCTGTACAATATTAATGTGGTTTTTTCTGTGTGTTTTAACATTTTCCTGCTTTATGTTGTACAATATTTTTATGTGGTTTACTTCTGTGTGTTTTAACATTTTCCTGACTTATGTTTTACAATATTAGTAAGGTTTATTTCTATGTGTTTTAACATTTTTCTTATCACAAGTTTAACAGTAGACAGTACATCTTAAAATAATAGTTTATGTCTGTGTGTTTTAACATTTTCCTGCCTGTGTTTTAATGTTAATGTTTTGTTTCTCCTTGGTTGAGATGTATTTTTGAATGTTGGTTTAGAACATATAAAGAAAGTTTAATTCATGTTTGTTGTCTGTACTATTTTTAGCAGGTTGTTTATTTTGGTACTTAAATGTAAATTTAAAACAATCTTCATCATATCTTTGATGATTTCTGTAGTTTCTAAACAGTCTCTCTTTTTTTGTTGTGGGTTGAGGTGGGAGAAAAATTTCATCCCAAAGTATTTTGTGACCTGTTTCATGTTGATGATGGATGTCTGGAATTACCTCTATGCCTGTGACCTTGGTGTTCTTTGCATCTAAGTTCTAAGGAACATGACATTTGTCCTATGTGTTTCTCTTCACATTCATATGGGATACTGTATATGCCCTGTTTTTGTTCTTTTAATAGGGATTCTTTCAGGTTAGGTAGTAAGGTGTTAGTTTTACCTGACGGTTTGAATACAGTTTTTAAATCAATGCTGAAATTATTAAAAAATTGAAAAGGGCTAATATTTTTGTTAGCAATTTCTGGCACAAGAGGGAATGAAACAACTTTGCTGTGTTTTGTGTTGCTGATTAGTGAAAGGTAATTTTTCATTGTTTAGAAGTTCGATACGAGCCCTATCTATGATTTTGGGGTTAAAACCTCTAGAGAATGCTATGTTCTTTAAGTAGTTAAGTTCAATAAGTAAGTCTTCTTTGTGGGTGCAAAGTTGTATAGCATGATTTACATAGGTGAGTAGGAGGATATTTTCTCTGATAGATGGTGGTTAGATCTTATGTGTGGTGGCATGGTGACTGAATGGGGTTCCCTTTATATACTGGTCGTAACTTTATTATTGTTTTTACATTCACATCTAAAAAGGGAGACAACTCTTGGATTCTATTTCATGTGTGAAAATTATGACATTGGGTTTTAATGTGTTCAAGAATTCAATGAAATTGAGTAGCAACTTTTTCTCATGTTGCCATATACTGAACATATCATCTATGTATGTTAACCAGATATCAGTTTTCTTGATGAGTATGAATTTTCTTCCAAATAATTCTTCTAAAATGGATATGTAGAGGTCATCATTTAGTAAGATGTTGACACCTGCTTTATATTGTGATTTATCTATGACTACAGGGCAACCCTTTTCGTCAGCTCTAGTTATGTATATCTTATTGTATATGCTTATACGCTATTGTTTGGCTAACTATTATTATATTAGCATAATGTTCTTCCTTACTCAAGTACTTATGAATATTTATGTATTTTTTCTCAGACATTCACATCTGCATTAGCAGAGAAATACAGACAACGAAGACTTGGACAAAAAGCTTGCCAGGCGTGGCGTAGATCTCTTGAAACCAGTTGGAAACAAAGAATAGAAAATAAATATCAAGCAAAAACACAAGAACTATGTGATGAGCACAAGCAAGAAGTTACTAAGGTGGGAATCAATCTTTTGAAATAATTCATAGTTAACTTTGTTTTATTTCTTAAGTTTTGGTTAAGTTACACAGTAATTAGATGAAATGCTAATTTTTAGGATGAAGAACATTTAATTGTACTTGTAAATCACATATTTAATATACTGATGTAATTTAAAATAATATGAAATAGAAAAAGTAACTCATTTTACATGACTAAAGCAGTACTAACACACATGTTTCATTGAAGATGATGCTAGTTGTTTGTATTTCTCTGATAAAACTTCTCTTGGCTATATGAGTTGATTTGTTCAGTAATTTTAACAGTTGGTCTCTGATCTTTTTATCTTTTTGTGGTATCTTGAAAAACTTTTTAAGATGGAAATGCATTATTAAAAATATAAACATTCAAAAAGTATACCTTATCTCTTTGTCTTATGACTTTCTCCTCCTCTCACACATTCTAGGGATAGTCCTAGTTATTTCTTTTGTTGTTACACCAACTGTGTTAATATATATATGCAGTCTAAAGAATAGTAAGTTAAGGTCAAACTATATGGTTCCTTATGTACCTCTTATACTTCTCATGATGAGTTTTCTTGGGAAACTGTTAGCTTCTTGGGTTCCTATGGGATATCATAGAGTTGGTAGACTATATATGTAGGGATGGCCAAGGTACTCAATAGGTATAACACAAATATACAAGCTTAAAAAATCAACAATGACAGAGAGTTTTACTTTAAAAGATGATTGGCACTCACTTTTATTTATTTCTCTACCCAACAAACCTAAAAACAATGATTGCCACTCACTTTCATTTATTTCTCTACCCAACAAACCTAAAAACAATGCAAGAAACCATTGCTAAGATACCAAACCTGAAAGTGACCAACCCACCAAATTTTTCATCTTTGGTTTTCTTGTTTCAGTCGAGATAACTGTACAACTACTTTATCTCTAATGTCAGTTTAAACATAAATTCACACTATGTATTTCTTGGCTGTGTACGATGTCATCACTTAGTTGTAATAACTAGTAGTAATTTAAAAAAAAATTAATCCTAGTGTAAACAAGTTATAATTACCTTTGGAATTAGGTTTTTTTTACAGATATCTGGCATTCCTTTAAATGGCTTAAGTACAGGGGGAAACAGGAATTACTAGGCAGTAATGGAAGAACATTAGATTACTGTAACATGTAGAATACTCAATGCTTTGTACACTATACAGTTGGTGTCTTTAGGGAGCCAATTCCTATATTATGTATGAAGTGAAGGAGTAAAGATTAATCAATATACATAATATTGAATTTTATTACATACATTTATAGAATGTACTAACTTTCAGTCAGAGGATAAAACATCACAAAAGAAGTAATATAAATTTTTGTAAATGTAAAATGGTATAAAGACAGCAGTACCAAAAAGAATGAAAACAAGAATATATGAATGATACAGCTATACATAGATTATTGGTACATGATTTTCAATATTAAAATTTAATGTTACAGTGTAAAATGCATATTTGACTTTAATATTACTGCAGTGAAAGTTATATATTCCTGCCTGTTGGTATACAGTTTGTTTATCATAATATCATGGTCATGTCAGGGTATACATCTATGTTGTGTAACTTACGTACAAGGAATATCAGTTGAGTCAAAATATGTCTTGATTATTACTATTACAGACTCTTGCTATTGACCAACCTCTTAGCAGTTTTATACTCCAAGTATTAGAAAGTTGTACACAACCTTAGCTGTTCTACATTACAGGTATTAGAATGTTGTACACAACCTTAGCTGTTCTGTATTACAAGTATTAGAAAGTTGTAAACATAAGTTGTTCTGTATTACAAGTAGTAACAACTTATGTTTACAACTTTCTCTGTATTACAAGTAGTAGAAAGTTGTAAACATAAGTTGTTTTGTATTACAAGTATTAGAAAGTTGTAAACATAAGTTGTTCTGTATGACAAGTATTAGAAAGTTGTAAACATAAGTTGTTCTGTATTACAAGTAGTAGAAAGTTGTAAACATAAGTTGTTCTGAATTAATAATCTTTCTGTGAACAAACACCAAATTGAAAGTGAATATGTGTTGCACTAGTGATGTATAATGGTATTTCCGTTATAATGTTTTCAAATAATACCTGTAGTTTACTACACTGACAAAAACACACAATTCTGAAATGGTGGAAAAAAAGTGGAATCAATATTTTATTACAATATAATTATTTACTATAAAATATCATATAAAAAATATATGATATAAAAATTGTTTGAGTGTCATATGTGGTTATTTTATGCTTTTTTATCACTTTTCCTTCATCTTAATGCGAAAAAGAAAAAATGACTTTGTTTTTACATAATAAATATCTGCTAATGATGTTGGTGTTTTAATAACATTAGTTACATATGATAAGGTTTTTAAACATTTGAAGAATCCTTCTTATCCAAAAAGAAACAATCTCACTTTCGTCCTTTTCAACTGCCTGTCAAGAAATTGTTCTTGATAACATAGAGAGACTTGGTGAAAAACTGAAAGTAGAAAATGAATGTCAGAGAAATATTGAAGAAGGGTACAATTAGCATAGAGATAAGGTTATTAAGGTGGGTTTCTACTTGTGTGTCTGTACTTCATACTTTATACCAGTGCATTAGTAAGCCATTGTTGCAGTCAACTTTGCCTGATTTCATCTTCATTGCTGTGCCCCAGTAAGGCTGTGATCAGTTGCTTTTGTAGTTCATGGTTATATCCTAGTGATCATATAGTATTGACAGCCTTTGTAATTCAGTTGTGTGTCCCAATGATATTGTGATAAGTTGCTTTTGCAGACTGTTTTGTAGTTTTATGGTGTGCACCTCAGTAATTTTTCTGATAAATTACTGTTGACAACTCTCATGTAGTTTATTGTTCTGTCCCAGTGGTGTTATGATTGGTTGCTATTGGCAACCCTAATGTGGTTTAGTGTTCTGTCCCAATGGTGTTACGATTGGTTACTATTGGCAACTCTCATGTAGGTTAGTGTTCTATCCCAATGGTGTTATAATTGGTTGCTATTGGCAACTTTTGTTTATGTTAATGTTCTGTCCCAATGGTGTTATGATTAGTTGCTATTGGCAACTTTCACGTAGCTTAGTGTTATGTCACAGTGGTGTGATTGGCTGATATTAGTAACTCTCATGTAGCTTAGTGTTATGTCTCAGTGGTGTTATGATTAGTTGCTATTGGCAACACTCATGTAGCTTAGTATTATGTCCCAGTGATGTTATGAGTTATTGTTGTTGGCAACTATTTTAGTTCAGTAGTGTTTCCCATTTACAATGTGATCAGTTGCTATTGTGATCAGTTGCTGTTTTAGTTCTGTAGTGTTTTCATATGATATTGTGATAAGTTGATATTGACAACTGTTTTAGTTCAGTAGTGTTTCCAAGTGGTATTATGATCAGTTCTTCTTGGCAACTATTTTAGTTCAGTCGTGTTTCATGTTGATAATGTGATCAGTTGCTACTGGCAACTATTTTATTTTAGTAGTGTTTCCCAGTGATATTGTGATCAGTTGATATTGGCAACTATTTTAGTTCAGTAGTGTTTCCCTGTGATATTGTGATCAGTTGATATTGACAACTATTTTAGTTCAGTAGTGTTTCCCAGTGATATTGTGATCAGTTGATATTGAGAACTATTTTAGTTCAGTAGTGTTTCCCAGTGATATTGTGATCAGTTCTTCTTGTCAACTATTTTAGTTCTGTAGTTTTTCCCAGTGATATTGTGATCAGTTGATATTGACAACTATTTTAGTTCAGTAGTGTTTCCCAGTGATATTGTGATCAGTTGATATTGAGAACTATTTTAGTTCAGTAGTGTTTCCCAGTGATATTGTGATCAGTTGATATTGAGAACTATTTTAGTTCAGTAGTGTTTCCCAGTGATATTGTAATCAGTTGCTGTTGGCGACTATTTTAGTTCAGAAGTTTTTCCCAGTGATATTGTAATCAGTTGCTGTTGGCAACTATTTTATTTCAGTAGTGTTTCCCAGTGATATTGTGATCAGTTGCTATTGGCAACTATTTTAGTTCAGTAGTGTTTCCCAGTGATATTGTGATCAGTTGATATTGGCAACTATATTAGTTCAATAGTGTTTCCCAGTGATATTGTGATCAGTTGATATTGGCAACTATATTAGTTCAATAGTGTTCCCCAGTGATATTGCAATTGGTTGCTTTTAGAAAAAGATTAATTCTCTAGTTCATGGTGAAATGATTATTTTTAAAGATTAATGTCCATTCTTTCATTTTCTTGTTGAATATTTTATCTTCACTCATATTTACTGTTATTCCTGTTTTAATTAATACAACTCTTTCTTTGCTCTAATCTGTTTTATTTTTCTACAAGTTTTGTTTAAAAGTAGGATAGCTAATTTGTTATATCTCTTTGTGAGTTCTTTCACTTTTCTCAAACATTGTTTAAACTTTCTCTCAACTGAGTTCTTTCTTATCTAGATTATTTTTTGTCACCTTTTTCTGTGTCTGCAAATATTAAATTACTTCTAGGGATTTTTCTTACATCTTTTTATTTATAGGGTATCTTGTCAAAATCCCCTTTCTCAGTGTTTGTTCATGCCAAACAGTCTGGTATTTATACTCTGTTTAAGATCTGGCAAATAACTTATTATAGTCATACTGCCTTTTTTTAGCTTCCTCTCTTTTAAGGCCTGTTCTGTGTCTCCCCTTTATGTAATGTTGAAAGAATAATGTTTTTTATATGTGTAACACTGACTTTGGTACAGACCACCCTATGACTTGAAACTGTTGAATTCCACTTATTAGACAGCAGTTATTCAAGAAAACTTTTCATAGAATTTATGATCATACTTACGTCTGTTCATCACACAACAACTAATCAGTTTATTGTGTTTATGTTGGTAGGAGTACACATTGATAAATAGGCCTATCAGTTTCCAATATTTTGGTATTTAAACTACTTATTATTAAGCTATTCATCATACAGGAAATAATTTACTGGGTTTATGTTGGCAGTGAGTGTTAGTGTTGTAGATACTGAATGAATTTCTCTCTCAGAACCCACTCATTGTTTTGACTAAACATTTCCTAATTACAGAAAACCATCCATATTATTTATTTTTTAGTATTTTCACTCAAGAGTTTTTGATATGTTTGTTATAATCCTTAAAAACCACTGCAGGTGAATTTTGAGGCTTAGCATTTTGCAATGATATAGAGTAGCATATTTTTCCTTTGAGCTTGAAGTATGCACTTATATTATTTCAGTTGAAAGAATCTCTTGCCATTGCTAAGCAGGAACTTGTTGATTTGACTAATGAGAAGACAAATTATGAAAATAACATGAAACGAGCACTTATGAGAGGTGTTTGTGCACTGAATCTAGAGGCTTTGAGTGTATTTTATGGATCTGAAGGTAAGCTGATGAAGGTTGATTTTTTATTAAATCTGAAGCCTATTAGCACACATTATAGGTACATAGGTAAGCTTGTATCTATTTTTTTTATGACAGGTGTATGAGCATGCTCTATAGTTGTGAAGTTTAGATGGCACCTCTTGTTTTCTATGCTAGGTTCAGGCCATTCCAGAATGGTCATTTTATGCATGATGTGGAAGGGTCTTTGATTCATTTTCTTATAGACTTGTTAGATTGTATCCAATTCATTAGCAAAACAACAGAATATTACATATTTTTTTAATAATTACCATTGTTTTTTTATTAGCTGAAAGTAAAGAGGAAGTAATAGCTAAACCTCCAAGTTCTTCTGACCATTCTTCTCCAAAAATCACCAATTTTACTGCTGGTGGTCATCATAATGAAAACTTTTCCTGTAAAACCAGTACAGGACAAGAAAATACCTGTACTCAAAATTTCTGTATACACTACAATAAATCTCCATGTGCTTCAGTAAGCAGTGAGTCAGCTCTTCCAAAAGTAAGTTCAAAGACTTTATACATAATGTTTGTATGTTAGTGTCTAATGTGGAGTGTGTCTATATTGTTCACTAATAAATGTTGATTTGAAGTACATCAACTAACCTTTGAATATAAAGTTTGCATATTTTACCAAACTAATAAACTGTTTCAACCAGTATTCTTCAAGTGTAACATGGCTTTGTTGAATGCTCTTAACAGTTGTTCTTGGATAAGTTTACTTTTCATAGGGTAGTTGTCTTTCCTTTTCAATAATTTTTGTATTGTGAACTTTGACATTTATATAGCTTTGTTGTTGGCTGTGTGCCAGCCATACATGAAATTACTTATATACTCCTATGGAATCAGGTAGTTTTGTATCAGGACTACCTTATACTTATAGCCTGTGGTTATTAACCCAGGATAATTTACCTCCTCCCATATTTTGAACACTGTTGGAAATTTAACCTTTATATCTCCTGTCTGTAAATACAGATGTAACATCTTGAATATTGGAAAAAGTAATGTTAATTATAGGATTGTATATTTTTCGTTTATTTTCTTCACCAACTTTTTTTTTATCGCCTGCTTTGGTTATGCCCCAATGCTACTCACATATGTTGTTCCTTCTTGGTTATCTAATAGTCTTACTATTTGTCTTCATTGTGTGCCTTATTCCTATTGCATTGGAGGCCTTCTGGAGGTTAAAACGTATCTGCTCTTAGAGTGTGTTGGACAGTCAATGTTGATGCTTGGAATATATACTCCAAGCCTTCTTGTACTCTTAGCGTTTATGCTTGGAATATATACATTTAGTTGTCTTGGAACCTTAGCTTTGATTCTTAGAATAGGTACTATAGCCTTCTTTTACTCTATGCTTTGATGTTTGGAATACATATTACTAGTTGTCTGGGACTGTTAATGTTTATGCTTTGCATAATACTGCCATTTGTCTTGGACCCTTAGCATTGATGCTTGGAATATATACTCCCAGTTACCTAGGAACCTTAGTTCTGATTCTTAGAATAGCTACTCTCAGCTATCTCTGAACCTTAATGTTGATGCTTGGAATAGGTACTCCTAGTTGTCTTGGAACAGTGAAGAAAAATTACATAAGAAACAAGAAATACATTACTGTATTATTCAGGGATCATAGTTTATTAGTAAATATAAACCTATATGCAGAAAAATTGAAAAAGCTGCAAGTGCATTGTTTAGAGCTGAGACTCCTTGAGGCAAAAAATTTAATTTTAATGTTTTTTATCATTTTTATTTGGGAATTGTATTAAGTATCAATTCTAAAATTTGTGAATTCAAAATTATATAAAATAATAATTATTTTTCTTAAATTTTGAAATGCAGGTGTACACACACAATACTTAAATGATGCTAATATTCAAGGCTGTTCTTAAGCTTCATGCAGTGGCACAGGGCTCTATGCTGCTTCCTCTCTTGGGTTTTCAATTTAAATGTTCTTTTGTATCACAACACTGTCTTGCACATGTTGGCCTATAGTAGAGGATGCTACCTGATTAAAATATATAGGTACAGACAGTACTTCCGAAACCAAAAAAAATAAATTAATAAATATAAAAAATAAAAAAAAACTTCAAAATGTAGGAACAGTTCATTTTTGGTACATATTTATTTATCTGTTGTTGACTGCATTTGTAACTTCAAAATATTTTATTGCTGAATACTGTGAGGGACTCCTCACTTTTTATCTTGCCTATGGCCTTGCAATGGCTGAGACCAGCACTAATATTTGGGTTAATTATATTTTTGGTTGATTTAAAAAGATATGTCTTGAAACTTTAGTTTTATGCATTACTATTTATGATTCAATAGGTAAATGCCATACCATTGTCGGGTACAGTGCCAACTTCAGTGCTGTATCCAACAGCGGCAGTTAAAAAATCCTATAGACAACTTAAAGATGTGCTGCCAAGTAGCAGAGCTGATGAGTTATCTGTAGGATCATGCAGCAGAACAGGACTTAATCCACCAATGGCTTCTGTAGTTGTGGAAAGACACCTACCTATAAATAAAGTATGAAGAATTAATTAAATAACAAAATATTCTTAACAATTGCAGAATAGTTATTAAAAAGGTTATTCGTTTCTGTTGTTATCGTAAGTTTTAACCTATAAAAATATGATTTGTAGTTCATTTGTAATTTGTTTACATTAATTTCAGAGAAATTACAAGATTTGTCTGTTTGCCTTTTACCTTGGAGTCTATTTGCAAAAGTATTTGACTATGGTTGTCGATGAAATATACCCTGGTTTACATTCTAAGTGTTACAGTACATAACATGTAGTTGTACAGAATAGTCCATATGAAGAGTTACCAGATCTCTGATGAAACTGTAAACTTTCTATACTGGTAACATTCTTTTCTAAGCTTGTAGATAAAATATGAATTGAAGACAAAGTTTAATAATGGTACTTGATAAAGGTGTGGATTCTGTGTAGTCTTTTTGAAAACTGATTCCCAGTTATAGATAGATTTCAGGATATGTAAATAAACAAAAGTTCAGTTTAATAATCTTTTTATTACAAATAATTTTATTAGTTTGTACATTATTGAGTTCCACTAAAGCAGCAACTAGCAGGGGTCAGCTACCTAAAGATCAAGGTCATAGAGTTACACTATAGTAACAACTAGTACGTGTCAGCTACCTAAAGGTAGTAAAAGCTAAGGTTATAGAGTTACATTATAGTAGAAACTAGCAGGTGTCATCTACCTGAATACCAAGATTATAGAGTTACAATGTAATAGTTACTAGTAGATGTCAGCTACGTAAAGACCAAAATTATAGAGTTACGTTACAGTAGAAACTAGCAGGGGTCAACTACCTAAAGACCAAGGTCATAGAGTTACACTATAGTAACAACTAGTACGTGTCAGCTACCTAAAGGTAGTAAAGGCTAAGGTTATAGAGTTACATTATAGTAGAAACTAGCAGGTGTCAGCTACCTAAATACCAAGATTATAGAGTTACAATGTAATAGTTACTAGTAGGTGTCAGCTACCTAAAGACCAAAATTATAGAGTTACGTTATAGTAGAAACTAGCAAGGGGTCAACTACCTAAAGACCAAGGTTATAGAGTTACACTACAGTAACAACTAGTATGTGTCAGCTACCCAAAGGTAGTAAAGGCTAAAGTTATAGAGTTATATTATAGGAGAAACTAGCAGGTGTCAGCTACCTAAAGATCAAGGTTATAGAATTACACTACAGTAACAACTAGTACGTGTCAGCTACCTAAAGATCAAGGTTATAGGGTTACATTATAGTAGAAACTAGTAGGTGTTAGCTAACTAAAGACCAAAATTATAGAGTTACATTATAGTAGAAACTAGCAGGTGTCAGCTACCCAAAGGTAGTAAAGGCTAAGGTTATAGAGTTACATTATAGTAGAAACTAGCAGGTGTCAGCTACCCAAAGGTAGTAAAGGCTAAGGTTATAGAGTTACATTATAGTAGAAACTAGCAGGTGTCAGCTACCTAAAGATCAAGATTATAGAGTTACAATGTAATAGTTACTAGTAGGTGTCAGCTACCTAAAGACCAAAATTACAGAGTTACGTTATAGTAGAAACTAGCAGGGGTCAACTACCTAAAGACCAAGGTTATAGAGTTACACTATAGTAACTAGTACGTGTCAGCTACCTAAAGGTAGTAAAGGCTAAGGTTATAGAGTTACATTATAGTAGAAACTAGCAGGTGTCAGCTACCTAAAGACCAAGGTTATAGAGTTACACTATAGCAGAAACTAGCAGGTGTCAACTACCTAAAGACCAAGGTTATAGAGCTACAATGTAATAGTAACTAGCAGGTGTCAGTTACTCAAACAGTAAATTTATTAAATAGAACTTTGGACAACTAGCCAACCATTAAGATCCTATATTAGGATCAACTATCTAGCCTCTTAATTACCTACATGCTAAGGCCATAAAGATCAATTCAAGCAACAGCTACGAAGTCATTTACCTAAACCTTAATGCTATTAAGTACAAATTTTTTGAAACCTAATAAGAACAGACCATTTACTAAAAAAGCTGAGGCTATTAAATACAAATTTACAACTACACAAAAATTAGTTATTTAGAGTAAATAATTAAATAAATAATATAAAATAAATAAGTAAAAAAATCATTAAGAAAATTTTGTAAGTATTTGCAGTTACATATATAGTAAAAAACTTTGTTTACTTAATCCTATCGTTATGGGTAGCTAGGGGTTAGAGGGCATGTCATCACGTTTGTAGACTTGCATTCAAAATGTTATTGAACTACTATGTTATGGATGTATGTCAATAGACGTGGTATCAAATTATAGATTTTAATTAAAATTTTAGTATTATACATTTTTTAATTTGAAAGTAAATATTATACAAAAATAGCTAAATATTGATTTTTGTGTCACACTGGTACATCATCTTCTGGGTTTGGTCAGATTACATTTTATGATGCCCACAATACAATGTCCATAATTACATACTTATTATAATAATATTTCTGATATTGGCAAACTAGAATATAAAATAAGAACCTCCTACCTTTTCTGTTTGCTGAGATATCATAATATTTATTGAATCCACCATATTGGCTCCACGCACTCTTCATTATTTGAGAAGACTTGTTTATTTACACATGCCTTTTTATGCCTACAAATTTATAATCCTCTACGTAATTCTGTCAGTCTTTCCAAGTTCTTTACGAAAGAAAAGCTCTTATATTGTTGGAAAGTTTGAAGTATTATGATCAATGCTATTTTCCAAACAGAAATTAGATTTTTTTAGACCTAAATACAGCATAGAAGCCTGGTAAGTTACAATAGATTTTTGTGCTATCAGTATAGTAATTTATAATTTTTTTGGTATTCAAAAAATGTATATATAGTCTACAAAAATTATTTTTTCCACATCGACATGTGAATTTGGACAAGGCTTATGATGAGGGTTAGTAAGTCCGACTCACGAGTGTAAAAAAGAATTTCAAAACGTTGTAAGTAGTGGAGATGTTGTTTTTTGATTATTTTTTATTTGCTGTTCTATTTTTTAGGAATAATAACTTAAATTTAAATATTTATTTGTGAACAGTAATAATACATATATATATACATATGTAGTGTATGGTAACCAAAACCTCACTGTATCTTACGAAATATTGGAAACTAAGCATTTATTGGTTACTGTATAAGTATAGTAAATTAGGAAACAGGATGTTCATAAACACTTTCACAACTATGCTACTTTTTAGTCAGACACGGTTAATAGATGTATATTGTTATGAGATTTAAGCAATTTAGAATAAACATTTGTGGTTTCCTGATATAATTTGCAGTTATTCTAGAAAAAAAAAGGTAATTTTAATTTATTTCCTCATTTTTTGATTGTTATGAGATTGGTCAAATGGACCAATACTATATAGAGTTAATATTGATAAAATAACAGATTAAATATAAAGTTTTATCCAAAAAACGTTTGATGCTTATCTAGAGATATATAGAGATTACACAAATGAAACTTGACAAATTTCAGATAAAGAAAAGTATTTTTAATCTTAAAATCAAAATTACTTTGCACATTGGATAGTCAACATTCTGAAAGAAAAAATTCACGAGTAAATCTTTAATAAAAAAAATCTTAATACTTAATTTAAAAATCTAATGTTTTGTGTATGAAAGCCTTGTAAAGTTTACTGATAATCTGCAAAATTGTGTAAAGATTCACATACATTATCATACTGCAATTACTCTCATGGATATTTTGGGGTTATGAGCTGGGTGGTTTCCACCTAGCCTGTATTTGTAGGGTTAACTGTGACAGATAGTTTCAAAACTGCATTACTTAGCAGTTTTTTCAACTGTAAACTTATTGCTTTGTAAAATACCTTTCATGTGTATGCTCTTCATACATCTTGTTATTACTGGAGTTTGGGTAGTTTTTTGTCTTTATATAAGTAGGTATTAGAAGTTTACTGAATTTTATTTTATTTAAACATTCATCATTGTAATTTATATTTGAGTTATTTAATAAATAAATTTAAAAAACTTTTTTTTTCCAGGAAACTCTTGGGCATGCTATGGCTATAAAGTATTCACGAACAAAGAATACAAGGACCACTTCTAATCTACAAGGAAATGTGTGATTTTATTAAAATAATGGCTGACCCTTAAATCTCACACATTACAGATTGGTCAAAGAACTGAAATCTCTCAAATTTGAACTCTTGCTAAAACATTCAACATAGTTTCTTTATATTGTGAAATAAAATCAGACTATTTTCTGTTTAACTGTTTTACATTCAGCAACAGGTTAAATATTATGATGACCAACATTGTGTTTTAAAAATTTATCACATTAAGCACTGCCATGTGATGAAGGATTATTGTAACAAAACTATTAAAATAACATTTCTTATACACAGGGCCTCTTGTGTTACTTCATCACTAAGTGAATAATGGGTACTTCAGTTGCTGGTTCATATTACTACTCATTACTCAGATGTTTGGCAGAGTTGAATAGTGAATAATGGATACTTTTGTAGCTGGTTCATATTTCTTCTCATTACTCAGATGTTTGGAAAAGTTGAATAGGGAATAATGGATACATTAGTTGTTGGTTAATATTTCTCTTCAATATGTAAGAGTTTTCAGATGTTTGGAAAAGTTTAATGGAATTGAATTAAAACCAAGATGATTCTTGTTTTAAACTATATTTGTATTTTGTAACCAATTATTTGATGGCTATATACAACTAAATTATAAATTTAATTAAAGATTGTTAAAATATTTATTCACATTTAAATTGTGTCATGGAAAGTTTTGATCTAAGGTATCACAAATTATTTCATTTCATTTGTGGTTCAACATAAAACTGACATTTTTCATCTATTGTATTTACATTTCACATATTTACTGTATTACAATGTGAAGTTATTTTTTAGTCGTTGTGTTTATCTTTAACTTATTTTACTTAATCTTCTACGGTCTAACATAAAACTGATATTTTTCATCTATTGTATTCACATTTGACGTATCCACTGTATTACAATGTGAAGTTATTTTTTAGTCATTGTGTTTACATTTGACTTAATCAGGCAGACCCCTGATCATTTTGTTCATTTATCCCATGCCCAATTTTCCCACCTTCATCTTACCCTAATGACTCTCCTACACTACTTATATACTATCCACCTCCTTTCCGAGGCGATCCACAGAGATCTTGAGGTATTTTCGAGGGATTGTATCTTCCCAATTACCTCAACATTGGCATGTTTGTCTTCTTAGGCTCTAGTCCTACACACTTGTTTTCTCTGTTTTGGGGATCTTCTGGGGAGGGATGCAGTCTTGTCCCAGGATCGTTTACTGCCTCCTTATCTCCAGGACTTATGTATGGCTCCTTTTCATTAGTGGTATGTTTTTAGTAATATCCCTGAGACTTTGGAATTGTCTGAATTTGGTGTGACAGAACACTACCCTTTCCTCTTTGGTGGATCATTTGTCACATTCTGAGCCTAAACATGCCCCTATTACTGTTTCTCATCCAGCTCCTTATCAGCCTTTACCTGTTCCTTCCTCCAGGGGTTCTTCATCTTTTTCTCCGGGTTTGTGGATGACCAAGGTAGATGTTGCAAATGCTTACCTGCATATCCTGATATCTCGTTAGTCGTGATGCTATCTTTATTTCATTCATCACAGGGTTGTTTATCAATTTCTCACCCTGCCCTTTGGGCTTGCTTGGGCCCCATATGTCTTTTGTCGGGTGGTCAAGGCATTTGCCCAACATTTACTGGCTCAAGAGTTGCACTTCCATCATTACATGGATGATTGGCTTCTGTTAGCTTGTTCCAAACAGGAGTTCGCCCATCACACTCATCGGCTGCTCCTGGAGGCAGCTTGTATTAGGTGGTTAATCAAATTGGAGATATCCTGTCCATTTGAGGGTTTTCTTAACATTCATCTCAATTTGGCCCAACCTTTTTCTCTTTGACTTCGTTTGATGAAGCTTTCAGTTCTCCACACACTTACTTCTCCTCTCTTACAGCTGGTGAGGTTCTATTGCTTTTGGGTATGTGGTCTTCCATGGAAGCCCTTATTCCGTTGGGTCAAGCACCTATGCTGTCTCTTCAGTGGACTCTGTCTTACCAATGGAATTGTACATTGGATCCATTAGAGGTTCCTATTTCCCTTCCTCCTTCAGTGGGGTACTCCTCAACTGGATGTGTTTGCCACATCTCTCAATACCAAACTACCTCTGTTTTGGTCTCCAGTTCCTCATTATCTTGCTCTGGCTGTTGATGCTTTCAGTCCAGATAGGACCAACAAATACCTGTATGTTTATCCTCCCTTCCACCTTCTTCATAGGGTGATCTTGATCATCCATGCCACTCCGTATCAAGTCCTTCTGATTGCTCCTTAATGACCAAGACAACCATGGTTCCTGCTGCTGCTGTTCCAGCTCCAATCTGCCCTGTCATTACTTCTTCCTCTTACTCCATCATTTGTATGTCAACCTTGGTCACTGGCATTTCATTCAGCTCTTCTTATTCTTCCTCTTTACACCTGCTTTTCATCCAGTCCCTGGTGAGGAGATCCAGTTTGTCCCAAAGGGTAGCTTTTTTAAATCTTGTTCCATTCGCTCTTCCTATAGGGGTGTTTATCAACGTAAATGAAAAATTTTCTGCCACTGGTCTTTGGGTTAAGGGTTTTCACCCGCTAGAACCACTGTTCCTCATATTACAGATTTCCCCACTTGGCTTTTTGATCAGGGGTCTTCTGTCTCCTCGATCTTGGGTTATTGGGCTGCCTTATCCCACACTTTTCATTTTTCCTTGGTACTGTAAAGTTTTTACTTCTCCTACCCTTTCCCTCTTGTTGCATTCCTTTCAGATTAGTCATCCACCTCTGCATGCTGTCCTTCCAGATTGGGATGTTAATGTGGTTCTTCATTGCCTCACTTTGTCTCCATTTGAACTGCTGTCTTCGTGCTCAATTTTCCACTTATCCTTTAGCATTCAAACTTGTTTCCTTCTCCTCTTAGCCTGTGGGTGTTGTTGGTCGGACTTATTTGTCATCAACGTTTCATGTGCTCCATATCATTCCACATATATTCTCCTTCATCTGGATTGATCTATCCAAAACTTCAGAGACTCTGGAGGGTAATTCTTCCTTCTCGCCAATTTCCCACCTTTATCCTCAGTTGGATCCAGACAGGCTACTATGTTCTTCTGTGCTCTTCATTGCTATGTTGTCTGCATGGCTTCCTTCAATGATGCCTGTTTCCACCTATTTATTCCTTGGCAGACATCCTTTGTTCATGACCTTTCTCCTTCCACCCTGACCATTTAGGTTTGGCTTTTAATTCAATTGACTTATTCTTCCTTATCATCTTCTTCCCATACTTTGTTCCCAGTGTCCTCCCATAAGATCAAGCATCTTACCTTTTCCCTGGTGTCTCATCTCCGTCGTCCCTTGGAAGAAATTCTTCAATCGGAAATGTGAATACTCATATATATCATATCTCACTATCTGCATCAGATTGCTGTTTCTCCATCTTCAGTTGTATCTTCAGTTTGTAGCCATTCTCAGTACTTTGG